GTACATAAACAGCATATTGGCACCAGAAAGACATCTGTGCCTAGAAAAACGCTTGTGATATGTACATAAATGACATTTTAGCTCTAGTCAAGTCCTTGTGGCTTTGAGAGGAATATGTGACTATACTCTTCTCTGTGAATATTGAAAAGGTGCATCTTAGGAAGGAGAGAATTTCGGAGGTTTACCGAGAGCCAAAGGAAGAGCTCTGGTGTGGGAACCCAATGCTGAGCACAGTCCAGCACCCCCAAATCTGCCTCGATGTGGCCACGTGAGCGCATCACTGCACGGAGCTGGCGAAAGCAATGAACAAAATCTTGTCCTGAAGACCAAAAAGTGGAGGTGTTTGGGGTGTGGAGGCACAGACAGGGGTCCCCATGTGCTTCCTGTTACCTGTGTGTAATTAAATTACCTGCGTGTAATTATCTGGCTGAGAAATGTGAAGAAAAGCTCTTCAGCACAAATGTCTTCTATGGCAGAAAAGGGAAATGGTGGTTTGTTACAGAAGGGAACCAAATGTGCCATCCTCTGGAAACCTTCCTGGGTTGCACCAAGGGCCACTTTGTAGGTATACTCATATTGTTCAGCTTAGGCTCAAAACACCTCAGTTTAACCATTCACAGTGACAGCCACCTGTTTTACAGCTTCAATCCATTCTGGAAGCTCCACTGCAGCCAGGAGGTAATAAGTGAGAGGTATGTAGGAGAGCATTTGCATCTACTCCTAAGTAGGAAAAAGGGAAGATGTAAAATTGAAGGTTTGAGTATTTGCCATGCACACATAGAAGTAACGAGGGACTCTCTTCCCCGATTTTGGGGCTTGGAGTCTGACTCCCTGAGATATTTGAGCCCTGAGCTCCCATGGGTGAGCTTTTATCCTGGTGAAGTCACACCAAAGTGTGGAACTTTGGCTTTTCCCCCTTTTAACACTGGGTTCAAGCACATACTCCGCAGATTGCTCCAGGAGGTACGGGTGCTGCAGTACTCACAGCTCCTCACTTTCTGCAATTACAAATCTCCCGTAGGTTTCACCAGATCCAATAACACAAATCCTAAAAGGAAATGAATGTCCAAAGCCACCATCGCCTCTGGGTCCATTTGGACTCACCTGGGTTGGATCGTGAAGCGACAGCTGTGCGTGCACAAAGCCCTTTGGGACGTGACCCCATGCACACAGTGGAGTTCTTCACTAGCAAAAATGGTTTTTTGGGATCTGATGTGAGAAAGAAAGAAAGAAAGAAGCAGCAAAATATTCCCTGCTTCCTTTGACTTTTCTGGGCCTGTTGGTTGGCATGGCCAGGTGGGCATCCCATACCTCCTGTATCCCCTGGAGGTCCTGCAAGCTGCAAGGGGAACCACAGAGCTGTTACTTGACTGCAAAAAAAGTGTTCAGGGGGAAAATTGTCTCCAGTCATTCTCATTTTGCATGTGATTTTTCCTACATATGTTTCTAATCATTAAGAAATTCTGTAGCTTAAATAATGCTCTGGAAGTACGGTAACTGTTGGACTACATTCTGTTGTAACCTTATTGAATTTCACTTCTCTGGAAAAAATAATGGGATACTATATCTTGAAAAACAAATGGTAATTGAGTTTTTAACAGAATGTTTCTCTTTGTGTTTCAAAACCTTCTGCACACAGTTAGACATCTAGCCAGGGAAGAAGGTACAAAGCATATGGGCCAATTTCTGTCTGTTGGCTGATCAAGATGCCTTAATATTTAAGCAGTGATGGGTGTGTGTCCATGCAATATGGCACAGTGTATCTCTCTGCCCGATACCCACGAGCTCAGGTGAGATGGCCAAAAATTTTATACCATGGTTAGAAGAGCATTCTAGGAGGAAACGAGGAAAGTGGGCTTACAACCTGCTCCCTATTAGGTGTTGGCATACCATCCTTATCCTGCATGAATTCACATTTTGGCTATTAGACAACAAAGGGTTTATATTCCTGTGTTTGTGGTGCTGCCCAGGGACACAGGCTTACCTTCTAGGTGACAAGGTTTTGCAAAGACTACAGAAATAAGAATTGTCCAACAATTTTTCTTTGCCTATACACCGTAGTGCTGTGATTTCCTGAGTTCTCTGGGGATTTACACATCACTGTGCTCTGATTTGATTAAAAGCTGGGACCCAAAACAGCACCATTGCAATGGTAACTTACAGGTGTTATTGCCTACTAAGATTAGGAGAGGCATGGTAATGCTGGAGTATTCTTCCCTGATTTTTAATAAATCTATCAAGTTAGGGACTTTGTGAAGAGATGCATTTGGACACGGGAATCTTCAAGGCAAAGTAATAGGCATGAGGTTTCTGACTGACAAGACACATGTGAGTACATGCAAAATGTGCTCCTCCAGCTAAAAATAACATTTCTCCTGTCAACCACGATGCATCCACCCCCACAACACCACCCAGAAGAACACATTAACACCTTGGCTTTGCACGTAGCCCAATTCACAGCAGCCACAAGTGGTAGAGGGATCTGCACTCTGTGTGCATGCTGACAAATCATATGGCATAGCGAAGAACAGAGGAGTGAAACTGGGCTAGCAGAAGTTGACGCCTTATCATCACAGTCCCTTTGAGCATGCTGTAGGCTGACACCTCCACCAACCGAGTCATCTCCCTGATGCCAGGATGAAGAGCACGAGCCCACTATCCTGATTTAGCCTCCACTGCACCACACTGAGAGGGTGCAGTGATGTAAAGAGGCAAGGGATCAGCCCAGGTGCACCAGCAAGGGGAAGCAATGAGTGCCCAACCACCACTGCTCACAGCTGTGTTACAGAGATGGTACAGTACAGACCAGTGATGTGCAGTGTTTCTCCCATTATGGATCCACAGTTTGTGCCCAATCCCAAAACCTGTAAATGATATTTCAAACCTAAGAGTGTTGGGTTGCAGATAGGCATCACCCTTAAGAAGAAATCCTGTGCTAACTAAGGTGCAAATCTGTCATGCAGTCTGTATGCAGCATAGCAGTCAATAAGTAGAAAAGCATATGGACAGTAAAGAGAAATAGAAATCAACATCTTTTGCCCAAAGATTATTTCCCATGAATATGTGATGTTGTGTTGCTGTTTTGTTTTTCTAAAAAAAATTAAAGCCTTCTAGAAAATGTTGAAGAAAATAAAAAATTACCATACATAGAATCCCAAAATTGCAGGGGTGGGAAGAGACCTCAAGAGATCATCAAGTCCAACCCCCCTGCTGAAGCAGTCCCCTACAATAGGTCACATAGCTAGGCATCCACATGGGTCTTGAATATCTCCATAGGAGGCTCTGCCATCACTTTGGGCAGCCTGTTCCAGTGCTCCATTCCTCACCATAAAAAAGTTCTTCCACATGTCAACATGGAACTTCCTATGTTCAAGTTTTGGACCATTACTCCTTGTCTTATCATTATGTACCACCAAGAAGAGCCTGGCCTCTTTTTTGCCTCCCACCTCCCACCATAGATATTTATGAACATTTATCAGATTCCCCCTCAATGTTCTTTTCCCCTGGCTGAACAGATCCGGGCTCTACTAACATTCTCATCATAATTTCTAGGCCAGCCATTTTAAAATCATTATTGACAGTTCTTCATCATTATAAACGTGGTTTGTGAAGTGCAGTCCTTAAGTGGTGACATACGTATAGATAGACAGATATAAAAGATGTGGAAACACATCAAAGCTAAAATACTGGCAGCTGACACGAGGGTGGTTCACGGACATGAAGGTCACTGTCGGTCCATTGCAGCCTTCCCCTGGACAGCATGAAGCTTTATTCAGAGGGGCTTTGAGAAAATCGGGGAGATTAAAATAAGTAAGTTCCAATCTCTCCTTTAGCCAACAAGCACATGAGCCTGTGTTCTCACTCTCAGAATTAAGCTCCTTTAACTCTCATCTAAGTTGAGCCTAGAGCTCTCACAGTGCTTCCCTTGTCCGAACTTCACCTGACTCCAGCAAAGCTGAGCAGGCTTTGGTGGGTGCTGAAGGCATCTAGGCCTTCCCAGACAGTGCTTAGAGCTTAACAGGATCAGCCCCTTGGCAACTTGCATGCTGTCCATCACCTCAGATGCCTTACACTTTTTAACTTACGCAATGCCCACCATATGTAATTAGCTAAGTGAGTGTCATGGCTTTGTGATTTTTGGTTTTCGGTGTTCCACATCGTAACACCATGTAGTGCACTGGAAGTTAAAGCGTTAATGCTCCAGTTCCAGGTACCTGTCCTGGTACGCCATAGAAATCATGGGATCTGGCCCTTCCTAGTTGGGCAGTCTCTTACTGCCTGGCAGTGGGTGCTGGAGGGTGCTTTCCTAGCCGTTCCAAGCTTTTCAGGTTTGTCTGGTCTCAGGAACTCTTCCTCTTCCCTATTTTATTTGGTTTATTATTCTCAATTTCAATTAGATTGTATTATATTGTGTTATCTTGCATTCTGATATCGCAGTAAAATAAGTTTTCCTCCATAGATCATCGCCGCTGTTTCTTTTCCCTTCCTTGAGCCCAGCTCCCATCTTCCTACCCCCTTTCCCTTTTCCTTCCTATTTCGTGGGGCCGGGGGGGGGCAGGGGCCTATTGCCCCCTTGTCATGGGCATGGATTGATCTAGTTAACTCCGTGACAGTAAGCTGCTTTCTCTTAACCTCAAATGTTTGTAATTCTTCTAATCCCGGTTAGGTGTCTGTATAAAGGAGCTCCTTGTTAAGGGCGGAGGGGAGGAATTTTCTTCTATAAGGAAATTAGGTCCTTGACCGAGATGTAAAGCCAAAGGTTTGAAAGATTGCACTGGGCACAAGCTGTCTATGCAAAGCAGCTTGCCTGTGGCGAGTCCTGTCCCAGTGAACCATGGGCATCCTCGTTGTTTTTCTTCACTAGTCCGTCCTTACTCCTGTTTAACAGGAGTTTAACACCAGCATCAAGTGCTTTCCTGGGACGAAAAACCGGGAGTTCGTCAACCAACATGGAGTTTCGCTTTTGGCCCATTTCCCAGTTGGAAAAGCTGAATGCTTCGATGCTCTTGGCGGTTCTTGTCATGCTTCTTCTGATTATTGACTTTGTGAGGAAGAGGCGTCCCAGGAATTTCCCTCCAGGGCCACAGCTATTTCCTCTTGTGGGAACCATCGTGGATTTAAGGCAACCTCTCCATCTTGAGATGCAGAAGGTAAGATCTTCATGGACATTTCTCCTATTATTAATATTGTACATTTTCAGTGTTTTTTGTCACCTATCAAAGGCAAAACGGAGGCTAGTTCTGCTTTACAAGCTGTATAATAACAATGTAGACAACTATTGGGTTTATCCCTTACCGCCATCTCCTCTTCCAAAGGTGTTGGACAGTTTCATCAGAAGGGAATTTGTACCAGAGGAAAGTCTGCATGTTCCTCCTTTTTCTTCCCATTTCAACACAATCATTGTGTGCTTCAGCCCAGGAAGGGTTTGGAGGCTATGGGTCAGGATGGGTGAGGGATAGTGGGAAACAAACTTTGAACAAGGAACTTCGCCTCTGAAACTTGTATTGTTGTTCTCTGTGCCCAAAGATCTGCAATTTGCACCATTACGTCTGAAAGAAAGACTAAGGTCCAAAGTTAAACACCTCCGTGGCTGCTTCTGTGTCACAGGAAGAGGCAGTGATAACTGAAAGGTTTCTTCGACTCCCACCAAAGCCAACAACAGTGATAATTAATACATGTGAAGTACCTTGTCTGAGAGAGTGGGAGATAAGGTTCTGACGTGCTGGTTGCAAGTATCCTTCTAGTGATTGACTTTTAGTCTCTTGCTTCAATTTAAAAGAGGGCCCCATCTCATCTACCCCAGCCATTAGCAGGGGTATCCCCAAGGGAACAGAGTATGCTCAGGTCATTTTAACATTTATAATTATTACTAATAAGATTAATCACATTCATCTGCATGCAAGCACTGGCAGAGCTGCCCATGTGATCCCAGGCTCATTTCAGTAGCCACCATGTGAGTTCAGGGTGACCATGCATGTCCTCTCCTGCAGAGTCACACTAAGGAGCATGCACATTGAATTCCTTGGCAAATGAGGACCCAAGAGAGGATATAATTGTCCTCTGCCCTTATACATCAGGGAGCTAAATGCTGAAGAGGAGAGGCTAATGCTAGCAATGTCCATGCAAGGAAAATGGCTATAAATTGGCTATAAATGCATTCAGGCTTAAAATTAGAGGAAGTTTTCTGAGCATCAGCAGTTGGAGCCACTTTCTAACTGTGACAGCTGGAGCAAGAAATCTCACTACTTTAAACAAAGTTGGTGAAATAGACTGTGTTGTGCCTTGCTTTCAACAGCAAGAGCCTGGTCTCAGTGACCCAGGTGGAGCCTTCTTCTCTTTCACTCTTTCAGGGAAGAAGAGGGAAGGAGCAGGTGCCCATCAGTCAAAAAGTCCTTGGGTTCAAGTTAAATTGACACAACAACCTGGTAAAAGCCAACATGCAAATCATCCCTGCCACACCACAGCTCACTTATATTCACTTATAATATTTCTTATGCCATTTCCAGCCTTTGCAGAATAGTTTAGGTTGGGTGGGACCCGTGGAAGACTTGGGTTTGGATTTTTCTTAAGCCCAACCCAATGCTCCAAGTAGAACTAAACTCAAAGTTAGATCCCGGGTCTTGTCCGTCTTCTTGCCCTCAGAGAGTAATGGACTCTCTTTCAGCTTACTGCAAGGTATGGGAACATCTTCAGCGTGCAGTTCGGAGGTCTGACTTTTGTGGTAGTCAGTGGGTACCAAATGGTGAGAGAAGCTCTTGTCCACCAGGCTGAAATATTTGCAGATCGGCCGCATATTCCACTTCTCCAAGAAATTTTTAGAGGCTTTGGTAAGTATAGCTTCCAAGATTTTGGCAATCTATTTGCAATGATAACAATTAGAGTGAAGGAGGCTGAATTCAGCCCTCAGTAACTGTGCCAATAAAAGCCCGTTGTAGAGGAAGACAAGAACTGAACTCAGCCTAATCTCACAGGTATATATTTGAATCTGTCTGGGATTTAGGGATAACACGGGGATCAACGTGATGTGTTGAGTCAGGTGAAAGACAAGAAACAAATGCAGGCTGTCCAGTGCCCCTTGAACAGTGTTCCCCTTGGATTTATCTCCCCTTTACTTTCTTTCCCTGGCTACACATAGCTCCAGAGGCGGGTTCTGCTGCTCCTGCAGCAGCTCTGCCAGCAGCGTGATCGTACTCAGAGTATTTTGGCTTACACCTTTTTTTCCCACGCAAAGTGACAAAGAAGAAAATCCATAAAGCTAGATATTTAGCATAAGCCAATTACCCTTGAATTTTAATTCCCAGGCGAAGCTATAGCTTCCCCATGTCTGCTGTTCTTACTTGCTTTGGTTTGGGGTTTTTAAGACCGATTGCCATTTCTGAATCCTGTCACTCACGTTCCACACAGAGCTAGCTTTTGTTTGTCTGTTTTTCTACAGGTCTCATATCCTCAAATGGGCACATATGGAGGCAACAGAGAAAGTTTGTCTTAGCGACACTGAAAAACACTGTGGTCAGTTTTGAGTCAAAAGTGCAAGAAGAGAGCCAGTACCTCGTGGAGGCAATGGAGGAAGAGAAGGGTAGGCGGTCCTTGGGCAGCACTGTGCCCAAAGCTTTCAACAGCCTCTTACCAGATGAATTCACACCAGTGTGACTCCTAATATGCAGAGCAACTCCGCAGTAGCACAAATCTCTATCTTAGGTTTCCAGATTGTGCTTTTTAGGCCTGCCATTTCAATTCTTCTTAATTAGAATTAAACGAATGTATACTCGGTGCTTATTAAAATCGGTATGTTTATGTGTCTAAGAAAGCCCTTTCTATAGCTGCAAAGGCAGAAATGCAGCTCTCATGATATCAAGCACATTCGCTCAGAGGCTCCATTAACCTCTGCTTGTCCTTGGCTTTGCAAAGTATTTTAAAACTTGTTTAGTCAGGCTTTCTTTTTGTATCATGCACAGATGAAGCGTGTGCTTTGCTCTTTTATGATCCGGCTTTTAAGAAGTGCCAGAGAGATATTAGTAAGAATAATTTGTATGTTGGTATATGGGTGATGTAGCACTTCAGCTTTAAATAGAAGCAGATGGGATTTAGCTAATTCTATGGAGCTATATATAGTAAACAAGAAAGATCTAAATAGGAATTGTGAAATTATATACTGAACTTGCTCCATTTTAATTGCAGTTGCTCTGAACAGGCCAAATACTTCATGTTGCCAATTGATTATAGTCCTTTATAGTCCTAATCAATAAACTAATTAAGCTGCAGTTTCAGGCCTTTCTTCCCATTAGTAATGACAAATAGTGATCTTGTCCATCACTCCAGTATCTGAGCACCAGCCCAGCTTAATTACTTTCTCAGAGTGGAGAGATGAGCAGTGCTGTGCATGGTGCCTTGCATCTCAACATGATGCTCCCCACTGCGCCGGCACAGCTCAGAGCCATGCTGGACTCATTACAGATATTACTCTCTCCTATCACGGCAAGTAGTGATGTGGGCTTTCTAAATGTGCCCTGGGAGATGGTAGCCTCTGCTCGATAGCTCTCCTGAGGAAAGCAGATGTGATGAGCATCACGCCACGCTTTGATCCTTTAGGAGCCAACGTGCATCATTAGGACCAGAGGGAACGGTTTCAAGCTATGGCAGGGGAGATTCAGGCTGGACATGAGGAAGTATTACTTTTCAGAAAGGGTGGTCAGGCACTGGAATGGATGCCCAGGGAGGTGGTGGAGTCACCGACCCTGGGGGTGTTCAAGGAAAGGCTGGATGTTGTGTTGAGGGACATGGTTTAGTGGGAGCTATTGGGAATAGGTGAACGGTTGGACTGGATGAGCTTTTAGGTCTTTTCCAACCTTGGTGATTCTATGATTCTATGATTCATGTCTGTTGGCCATGTAAGCTATTGCTGGATTTTCCTGCTTGAATTCCCCGTGATGTGCGGCCAAAGGCCAATACAATGACATATTTGCAATGTGATTGGTCTTAAGTTTTCTGCCCCAGGCAAAGGTTTGGAGGGACCTTCTCTTGGTGTTTGATGGACACCAATGACGAGTTGGAGCAAACAAACCCAACAGCCATGGCTACTTGTTACCACTGGGAAAAGGCTCAGATCCTGTTTCAGAAGCTCTGTGCTAACACTGGGGTCTGCCACAGCCTAGATGTAAGGGGATGTCCTCGGAGAAAGGATGCTGGGGCACACAGCACCCAGCTTTTAGAGGTAGTGGGGATCCCAAGACAAGAGTGAAGTCTCAGCATCACCATGAGTAGGTAGTAGATGAGGCCTTACCCCATTTTCACATCTGTTGTGTACAGAGTGCTCTATCTGAGATTGAAGACCGAGCCTCACAGTTTTCATTTTGTTCCCCTCAGGGCAACCGTTTGACCCTCATTACAAAATTAATAGTGCTGTTTCAAATATTATCTGTTCCATAACTTTTGGGAACCGCTTCGACTACCACGACAGCAACTTCCAGGAATTACTGCACTTGCTCGCAGAAACACTGCTGCTGATAGGAAGCTTCTGGGGCCAGGTAAAACCAGACTGCTGCTTTTGTAATTTCAGCTCCATGTAAGTGCTTGGAAATGAGTTTCTAAGGTACTGAAGTAATCTGCTTTTCCCTGTAGAAAAAGAGTCATGTTGTAAGAGAAATGACCATGGGTATTAATTTACATCGGGCTGCGTTAATCCATTAAATCCATCAAGAAAGCAAGTGAGTTAAAATGATTGAGGCACATGCAGGAAAAAAGATTGTGGGATTGTAAAGTCAACCTTGTACCAAGCAGAACAGAAGAGCAATGGAAGAAAGAAAAAAAAACCTTTTAAACATCTACATTTCCACAAAAAGAAAATAGTAGCACTCAGTCAAAATTCCCTTCTCTTCCCTTCTACCACTTTCCCAACCAAATTCTGCACTGCTTGTATTGTGTGACAAGATGAATGAGATCCTAAGTTTATTACCAAAATAGATGGCTCTGGGGGCTGCCATAGCTTCTGTATTGCCACACACCTTGGACCGGACAAATTGGTCCCTGCCAACCCCAACACCAGTGGGCTCCTCCTCATTGACTTAATTGACCTTCGTCTCAAAACTGGTTTATCCTTTGAGCAAGTGGAACTAACAATTTGTACTACAATCTCAACTGTGAGACCTGGCCTTTCTTCACCCCAGTAAGTGCTTTTGTGCTCTGTTTGATTTCTCACCAGCTGTATAATGCTTTCCCTCTGATAATGAGATGGCTACCAGGGCCCTTCAGGAAAATCTTCAGGCACTGGCAGAAACTTCAGCGTTTTGTGAGGGGAGTGATTGCAAAACACAAGGAGAACTTGGACCAGTCTGACTTGGGAGATTACATTGACTGTTACTTAAAGGAAATAGAAAAGGTGAGAGGGAAATACCTAAGGCCACTTAAAGCTTGATCACCAAAACGAGCAGACAAGACTCAAGGCAATTTTGTTAGAAGAGCTTTTTCCTCCCTTACTTCTTTCATGTCAGACTTTTTAGCAGCAGCAGGAGTTTGATCGCTTTGAAAACACATCGATTTTTATATATTTTTTTTTCATTTGGAAGTATTTACACTTTATCTTCTATTTCTCATTCTGTCAACTGGCATAGGAGGGCTCTCGGGGAACTTATTCATGTTCCTGTGAGAATTTGCAGGAGGGTGTTTTGGTTTTGGGTTGGGTTTTTGAAAGCATCCCCTCCCTAATAAGCACTTCTACTGTCTTTTTTTTTATGTAAGTTTAAGGATGACACCAACTCCTATTTCCATGAGGAAAATCTGCTCTGCTCCACACTGGACCTCTTCTTGACTGGGACAGAGACAACAGCAACCGCCATCCGTTGGGCTCTGCTCTACATGGCTGTGTATCCCCACATTCAGGGTAGGGCCACTGGTGGGTAGAGTAGCCCGAAACCAGATAAGTGAAACAGAAAACTGAGTTGTTTGTAGGCTCACCACACAGGCCATGTGCAGTGGAAATGCTAAGTCACTGCTTGAACCACTGATTGAGCACCTGGTGGGAAGGCAGGGCAAACACGGGGGAGCTCAGGTGCATGCAATGTACCTGAGTGACTTGAAAGGGTGGAGCCAGGAGCCACTCTTTCGCAGACCTCACTTAAGGGTTGGCAGAGGAGGTAAGAGCATCTTGTTTGAGATCTCTGCCTATTCAAGGACTGTGTGAGCCTTCCTGAGGTAAGTGAATTCTTTTTGCTTTGTCTACACCTACTGTTATTACATCTGAACAGCCCATCCCTCACCTTAGTACAACATCTTGCTGCCCTTCCTTCTTGTAACAGATGTGCCTGTGGCCTGGCTTTCTCATTCAGAAGATTTTGAGCACACGTACATATATATATTTTTTGTTTCTGTAGAGAAAGTGCAGCTTGAAATTGATGCTGTGATTGGCCAGTGCCGCCGGCCCACCATGGAGGACAAGGAGCACATGCCCTACACCAGTGCAGTGCTGAGCGAGGTGCTGCGAATGGGCAACATCGTGCCATTGGGAGTGCCCAGGATGTCCACCAATGACACCACCTTGGCTGGCTTCCACGTGCCCAAGGTATGCCCAGGACACAGCCCTCCCCTCACCCTGTCAGCATGGGGTCTTCACAGCCCCCATCCCAAAACCTCACTTGGAGGCACCAACCTGCAGCATCTTGCAACATCTCTCATCTGTGGAGTAGTCCTGGCAGATGCTGTAGGGCTGTTTGGATCTCACCTCTTTATGGAAGAGAACTGTGAGATTCTATTCTGTTGGTCATCGCTTTCATATTTTTTTTTCAAGGCTTATCTCTCAGGTTTTACAGAAGATGACTTGCATGAATTTTGGAAGCAGAGGTCCAAGAAACACAGGAAAGCAAGCAGTTTGGATTTGTTAATTCCACAGAGTATTAGAGAATATCTATTAAAATAGCCCTTGATAAATGCCAAGTAATGGTTATTGATGAATGTACACTGTTCTGACATTATGAAAGCAAATATGAGATTTGGATAGATTGAATCTCTTGCACAGACATGATCAGTTGCTTCTTGGCAAATTAAAAATTAAAAGTTCTGGGCATCTTGCTGCGCATTGATTAGAGCATTTTTTTAATTTCTCCTAATGGAAGATAGGAAGGTAAACCAGATACAGTTTTAATAAAAAGTAAAGCAGGTTGATTGACAATTACTTGGTTAAGTTGTTTTCAATCCCTATGATGAGACAACTTGATTGATTTAAAAGTGAATTCATATTAACATCACTACTAACAGCAGCACAAGGTATGGATCAGCAGCATGGAGGTGGACAGTGGCACATTGAAGTGAACAGTCCTGCAGGCTTTTGCCCTCATTTAACCACGTTGGTTTGGAAAAACATTTTGTGTGTTTAAAAAAATGAAGTATCTTGCTTCGTGTGTGTAGACAAGAGCTAATAGTAACCCAGGCTGGCAGCATGTTGGCTCTTCATGGAACCTCTTGTTTCCTCACCCTTCCAGGGTACCACGCTGATGACCAGCCTGACTTCAATAATGTTTGACAAAAACGTGTGGGAGACTCCAGACACCTTTAATCCTGAACACTTCCTGGAGAACGGCCAGTACAGGAGGCGGGAGGCTTTCCTGCCCTTCTCTGCAGGTAAGAAGATGAATGGGGAGATGGTTTTGCTTTTTGTAATGCTTTTTCTTCACCCCATTGGAGTAGGGAAGAACTGTTCCCAGCCTGATAGCAGCTCATGCCTGGCATTTCCCACAGTGAAAATCCCCTAGTAGTTAATACTGACTGCTGTGGGCAGGAGGGAGATCAATTTGTTATTGCAGGATGAAAAACAAGGCTTTTTCCTCCTGCGTGAGTTGGGTAAATGGGTGCTTTTTTTTTTTTTTTTTTTTTTTTTTTTTCTTTGCTTTTGAGTGTCCCCCCCCTTTGCTTATCCAAATGGTTTCATCTCTCTGCTGAGCTGGGAACTTCTGGGGACGTGTTCTGCACGATGTGTGGGTGAACATTGCCACCTAACCTTGCTAGGAAGAAAAGCTCCTGCAGCCTTTACAATGCAGCATGGGTGAAAGGAGCCTGGAGGCTGCAGAGACCCCAGGCCATCGCCCTTGCTCTGCAAGCACTGTCCTTCTCTGTGTCCCATGGCACCAATGAGCCCATCTACCCCCTTGCACAACACCCTCCCTTCTGTGAGAATAGCAATTAAGGGTGATGCTTAAACTCTGGACTGAATGTGGTTTTCTTTGCTCCTCTTCCAGGCAAGCGTGCCTGTCCTGGTGAGCAGCTGGCCAGGACTGAGCTCTTCATCTTCTTCACTTCCCTGCTGCAGAAATTCACCTTCCAGGCTCCGTCTGCCACTGTGCTGAGCTTTGCCTTCACAATCAGCCTCACGCGCTGCCCCAAGCCCTTCCAACTCTGTGCCCTGCCTCGCCGCTGAGGGCAAGATGGAAAGCATTCCCTTCTCAGCTGTCCCATTAGGTTGCAGGCTGCAGTGCTGGGACTCCTCACAGCTGGCAGCCCTGTGTGGTGTGTGGACAGTGGGGAGGGCAGGAGGGCTGCATTCTGCACGCCTCAGTGAGGACAAGCACTGGGACACACATATCCCCTTGTGCTCCTACTCCTTTCCCTGATCAGTTTGATAAAATACATGAATTCAAAAGCCTTATTGCTTCATTTTCTCCCTCAGCAACACCAAGGAAGTGGCTGTCAGTTGTAAGCCATGGGCACGCTTGTGCTTGCTGTGTCTCTTCTATAGTGGGCACGTTCATCACCCAGAGACCTTGCAATCACTAAAACTCAATGCTGCTGTACAGTGAATGGCCATGGGCTGTGTGTATGGGGGCCTTCCTGCTCACTAGGGGTGGCTGTCTGCACATATGAGACCTAGGCTCATACCCATTGCTTTAATGGACAGCTAGCTGCCAGCGCAGATCCTGACCTCAGGGTTGGTGCAGCGTGTGTTCCCCACAAAGCACTGTTTTTGTTTTGCAATGGGAAGTCAATACCTAAATATAATACATTGCAGAGGAAACATAAACATCCTTTCTTTTTTTTTCCCCTTCCATATCTATATAGAAATTTAAATAAGATGGTAGAAGCATCTTATTGGCTGGCCCATGGGTGTCCAAACTTTTGACTGGCCTGGGCTGTGTTGAATGAAGAGGAATTCAGTGATACACCTTTGCTTTGTATGTGCTTTCATCTCAGATGCCACTTTGGCAGACTGCCCCTCTGCTGCCATCTGAATGAACCACTGCAATGAAAATAATAGGGTACTGGTGGGAAAGTCCAACTTCTACTGCCATACCACCAACAGCTGCCTCTGTTGTCAGGGGCTGACATAAGGCAGGAGGCACTACTTTTGGAGCAACCCTTATATATTATACAGTTAACATCTATAAGTAACAAAAGTTATTTTAGCTTTTAATATTGTTATTAAAACTTTAAAAAAAAAAGTGAGAGAGAGCAATAAAGCCTTAAAACCAGTGAGATGTGTGGCCTCGTTGTGCCACTAATGCATCAGTGTGGTTCTGTGGCAGGGGCTGCAGCTCTCAAGGTGTTCACCACATATTTTGGATGAAATTTTATTCTTCTTGTGCTTCAACCTTGAAAACAGTTATCAAGGGAAGCTGCTTGGTGGGAAGTCCCAAGATCTGCCTCCAACACAGGTCAGGGCCATTTCCACAGCACAGCACTGGGCTGTGGTTGATGGACATTCTCTTCTGCCCATGTGAGGGTCTCTCTTGAAGATTATTCTAAGTCTGCAACTCAAATTTAATACTCCAAAAGCCTATGCCGCCTCCTATCTGCTCTTGTTTGCAATATATTTGCGAGAAATATATATTTTTTTCTTTCTATTTCTCCCTCTGACCTTTCGTAAGTGACTTTTCTACGCGCGCTCTTGTAGGATAGTGGATAGCTAACGGGAAAACAGGATTACATCAGGCTTCATTTCCACTGGGCTTGGACGCCTTCCCAGGCAAGCGCTGTGCTGCCGCGCAGTTGCTGTGCAGTGACAGATCTGCGCCGCAGGGGAGAGTCCTCTGCACGTCCCATGCCGGCATTCATGCACTCCAAACTCTCATCCTATTCCGTTTTCAATTAACTTTTCTCTGTTACAGGCACGTTTATTTTATTCCTGATACAGAAGACATAATATATCTGTGGAATTTTGTTTTTTTCACATGGAATTTCTAAAGCCGTTCTGGAGTGGACAGTGACTTCTCCATTTCTAGTCTGACCTCTGGAGCATGGGTACAGCTCTTTTATTTGCACGGCGTGAGCAAACACAAGCTGTTCTATTCCCTCATATCGACTTTCCCTCTTATCTTTACGAAACCTTATATACTCACGTTCCCCTCTGGGAGGGAATAAATGGTTGCAATCTTCCTTTACCTACATCGAAAAGCTATAATTTAAAAATCTCTCCACAAAAAAAAAAAAAAAAAAAAGCAGAAGGCATAATGGTGTTTAACTTAAGAGCGGAGCATCCCATGTGAGTGCAGGGGAACACTTCAGGTTGCACGAAAAGGTTGAACTTCTTAAAGTTGATCATAGGACCGCAGCAGCTTCGCTGCGCAACGGCACTCGGGAGCCTCCGAGCAGCGCCTTCATCCGGACAAATCCATTTTGCCACAGCTGCCGACCCCAAACAGAAGCAGCCCGCACCGCCCACCGCATCACGAGTGCGGGCTGTGACTGCGCGGGGCGACGGGAACAGGGCAGTTCTCAGCCGGCAGCAAAAGAATTCCTCGAAAGGGACGGGACGGGACGGGACGGGAGCGGGGCCGGTGTCACCGCCGGGCAGGACGCGCTCGTC